ATCCTTTGATAGGTACTAATCCTATATTCCATATTTTAAGACTTTGTCTTAATTGTCCATCCAAGTATCCGTGAATATTTATATATCGTTTGTTGGCTATGGACGTCCATTCATCGAATGTTAAGCTGAAACGACGACCTTTTTCTCGTAGACATTGTACTTCATCGGTGAAATTGTCAAATACCTTTTCGCAATACATTAAAATTCAATTTTGAATTGTTGATGTAGAAGTTGGTAAATTCTGAAATCCCCTTGCCTCTAAACCTTTAAAACTCATTAAAACAGCTTATAGCTTATACCTAAAAAAATTTCATCACAATGAATGAAAAGCTTTTATTTATAATACTTTCAAATTACCTGTATTTTTGTTTAATTTAGCTTTGTTAATTTATCTCAAATTATTTGACGCGCACACAAAAACCTCCAGAGCACAGGCTAACCACCACTCACAGTGTCACACGACTATACCTATTAATTGGAGCACCGCCGGTATATAACACCGATTCTACAAATATTGCAAGTCATAACTCGTTTTAGCCGGTGATTCCCCTATCAATTTAGGTTTTTTACGAACTCGGAGAACCGTTTCGTTAGATCACCCGTTAGCTCGAGGTCAATATTTTTAACAGGTTGTAACCTGTTAGTTGTAGTAGTTCCGATATTTAAATTTTTTTCTTAATTTCGGGACTTTTAAAATCCCGGGACTTCTTAGTGGTCCCGGACCTACATTTTTTTCAAGAAATCCCGAGACGGAACCGGGACTAAATATCGAGACTGGACATCCTAATTTGCCGTCAGTAAATTCATTGTAATATCTAAGGCAGGATGGTACTGATCCTCGTAGCCGAAGGGACAATCATCATGAAAAAGATCAAACTGATGGTCAGTATTTGTCAGAACCAAATCCAATAGACGATTGTCACAGTTTAATGCATGATTGAGTTGACAAAGGTCCAGAAAGTCACAAAAATTACGAAATAACTCCATTTTTTCACATATGATTGATATGCCAGGTGCCTTAATATATTCAAGCAAATTAAAATCACCAAGGATAAGGACAGGATAATTCAAAACTTTATTTTCTAGGGCGTCCATGAAACATAGTAAATCAGGTTGCGGATTATCAGGAGGTATGTGCAACACCACGATATATAAGGTCACAGACCATAATGAGCACTTGCAAATCAACACATCGACAAGTGGTACTAAAGCCTGAATGTCTATAGAATCAACCAGCTCAACATCATGATGACTATGTGATGACCACCTCTGTTATGTCCAACCAAATCAAACTTACGATCAGCTCGTACGACTCTGTACTTATCCACGAATAATTCATTAGATCCAAGATCCGAATTTAAATTAGTTTCCAATAGAGCAATCAAATCAATTAACATAAAATTCACGCGTTTTTGTACGAAGACCATTAACATTTTGATAGTATACATTAACAGATTGATACATTTTGTTGGGCAAAATCAGTTTTCCGAAGCCTTGACAATTGAGAAATTTAATTTCAATTAATTTTGTTTTAGGATTATGCAACTTATTGGCTCCACCGCATTTACCACACTCCATTTTTATACAAAAACTTCCACAAAATGCACCATAAATATAAACAACCAACAGCGTGGTCCGTCACGGCGATTCATCCCGTTGAAAGTAGTCATATTCAATTAACATTGATGATTCCAATTTTTGTTATTCCAGTCCATTGGGGTATTTTGTATTAAAATGAATTAATCTCCCAACTTTACCATTTAATTTTAGCTTCTTTTTACGCCTGTGCGCTTTACGCTTATTACCACGGAATAATTGATCATTCAGGTATTAATTTCAAAGCATTTTGGTGGCAACCTTGGCAACCTGACGCTATTTTCCACGATAATCACCACCAATATTTCCATGTTAATTTTGCGTTCAACATCTATTTTTGGGATATTGTAAGTAAATCTAAATCTTAATATAAAATGATTTTAAAAATAATTTATTATAGCTACACGGAACGTATAGAAGAAAAGATCGCCTTTACACTGAAGATACTTATTACGGACAAGGAAAAGCGCTAAACGAAGCGACCGCATCGGAAATCAAAGCCGATTTACAAGAAAGAAAGTCCGAAAATCCTTTGGCTTATCGAGGGAATAAATTGGAGTTTGATTTGAACGAGAAAGATTTAAAATTGGAGTTGAATGGAACGTACAAAAAGTTGAGAAAGAACAAAAAATATTATTAAGATAATTTTTGTAAATATTTATTAAATTTGGTTTTAATAAATAAATAATTTTCGTAATTTATTTAAAAACACCATTTAGGCTAACTAATCTATTGGCAGGTTTTAGTAGTTTGCGTTTACTTTCAAGGTGATTAATGAACCTGTCGAAAAGTTGATCTAAATTTAGCGCAAATCTATTTTGGATAGGTGCAAAAATAAATTTAAATTAACTTACATCGAAATGAGACAAAGATAATTTTATCGTAAAACAAAGCTTCTTTTCGAGCGAACCAACATCACCTTGTTTATAAACGTCGTAAATACTTCGCATTTTAAAATTTACGCATTTAGACTCTTTCAAGAAATCTAAAAATATAACCAGAATATTTCTTTTTTTTTTGATTTACGATTCGAATTGAGATTTATATTTATAGATAATTCAATAAAATCCTTTGCTATTTTTAAATTAATATATATTTTTTGTTCCAGATTATTCAATCGCCATTGCAACCTAAGCAAATATAGGAAAGCAAAAAATAAAAACTAACCAATCGGCGCACAATGGGGTATTTGTCAATTCTATCTGGATTTAAAATTTTAAAAAGTTGATTCAACCTTAAATTACTTTCAACCCATTAAAACTACTACTAATACAGTATTATAGTACCTCACCTGGTGGGAATCTTCCAGGCATGCCTGGCGCTGCGCTATACAGGGTGTATAGTAGAGCAAAAATGATGACGATTCATGAAAAAAAAATATTATAAAAGTCTTCAAATGGCCAAGATATGGGCCATCAAAGTTCAGAAATTTTAACACATTTTTCTAAATATTTTCAATACCATTTATGGTAGAGTGTTGAAATTTAGTAGAGGGTAAACAAATATCAAGCAAAATCATTGAACCAATTTTGACTTTGATCGGCGGCGGAAACTATGCTATACAGGCTGGCCCTAAAATTTGTTTGCTCAGAACTTTTTTGTTCGCTCGTAACCCTACATTTATTTTTGTACTTTTTAATAGAAAATTTATTTTAGAAACTTTTATCACTCTTTGAAAATTTTGATAACATTGACTGTTTTCGAGTTATACGCGAAAATGTTAAGCTTCGATTTCAATGGTAACACTAAAAAAACGAAGTCTTCGAAAAAGTCAAGGTTGGCCATGGCAATTAAAAAAAACAACTTGCTGTCAACTTGCTTATGTCGTTTAAACACAAACGATAGTTCTGTTAGTTAGTTATTATTAATTTTAAGTGTTCAAAATGGAGAGTTACACATTTAGTGAACAAACTGACATGATTTTGACATTAGGGGAATGTCATGGAAACGCCGTAGCAGCCGCTAAGCGTTATCGGGAGAAATTTCCGAATCGCAGAGCGCCCAATCGAAAAACATTTTTAAGGATTGAAACCCGTTTAAGGGAAAATGGGACGTTTAAGCCGAAATTTACTAACAACGGTAACGTAAGATCAGTCCGAACACCCGAACTAGAAGAAGATATTCTA